CGGTTCTTATGCAAAATAACCATCCGCTGGCATTTTTTTTAGTAAAACATTGAATCAGACACAAAGGAATTATACAGCTACAGAAAGAGAAACATTAGCCGTATTAATGGCTGTACACAAATTTCGAGTTTATTTCGGCAAATCGCCAGTAACAGTCTTTTCGGATCATGCGGCTGTTGGTAGACTTTACTCTCGGGGGAAAACTCTAACGCCCAGGTTAATAAGATGGGCTTTAAAACTCCAAGAATATAATATCACAATAAAATATAAACCGGGTAAGGAAAACAATGTAGCTGACGCACTTTCCCGTATAAAACTGGACGATGAAGGAAATGAACTTAAATGCGCTGTGTTGACTTCAAAAATTTTAGATTCTAGAGATACGGTTATTACTGAACTGAAAGCTGATCCTGAATTTGGAAATATCTATGCTTATTTGAAAGACCCCGAAAGCTTTGAGCATACAGATATCGATGCGATAAGAAATAGAGCAAAAAAAACTATGAAATAATAGATAATTTATTATTCTATACGAAAACAACAAACGAAAATCTTGAGTATAAGCCAGTCATCCCAGCCTCGCTTCGATTAAGCATTTTGAAGGAGTTGCACGAAGAAAAAACAGCAGGGCCACCTCGGGGTCAGAAAGACTATAAAAAGGGTACGCGAGGCGGTATATTTCCCGCAATTATACAAAATAGTAACGGCGTATGTCAGGTCCTGCAATCAATGTCAGTTAATAAATGATATTAATTACAGCCCGGCCGGGTACTTAAATAGCATTCGCGCTACATTTCCGAATGAAATTTTAGGCATAGATCTCCTTGGTCCCTTCCCCCAGAGCGAGTTAAATAAAAATCGTTTTCTTTTAGTAATAGTAGATCATTTTTCAAAATGGATAGAAATTGTTCCACTTAAACGCGCGTCAGCCAAAACAGTCGCAGATGCATTCTTACACAGATACATTTTAAAATACGGTGCACCGATAAAAGTCATTAGCGATAACGGAAAACAATTCATTAGTCAAATATTTGAAAACATATGCAATGGACTTGGCATACGCCATATCAAAATGGTTCCGTATAGACCACAGGCTAACATAGCAGAAAGAGTTAATAAAAACATAGTAAAAATAATTCGCAGTTACGTGAGCACACATCACAAGCGCTGGGATGGCTACATAAATGAATTAGCTTATGCTTTAAGAACGGCACATCATGATACTACGGGAAAAACTCCAGCAGAATTATTTTTAGGCAGAAAGTTAATTACGCCTTTAGATAAATTATTCTTTGTGCAACAAAGAGAGCAGGAGTTTAAACAAAAAGATGTGCAAAAGCTCATTGATCAGGCGCTTAAAACCTCGGATACGGCAAGAAATAGGCAGAAACTATATTACGATAGAAAACGCCGTGAAGCAGATTTTAAAGTTGGGGATAAAGTATTGAAGCGGAAATTTTCTTTATCAAGTGCCCCAGACAATTTTATGGCAAAGCTAGCTCCAAAGTTTGAAGGCCCCTATGTAATTCAGGAAATCAAAGGAGTAGTCTTATATCTTAAGAACGAGAGAGGGGAAATCTGTAAAGCAAGTCCCGACCAGGTGAAAAAATACTATAATCCAAATGATTTTGAAATCCTTAAAAGTTTCTTGCAGGACTCAAGTCTAAACAAAATAGAAGGGCCAGAGACAACTATTCCACCACCCAAGAAACAGAGAACTGAAGAGAGACCTAGAAGTAAGATACTTCTAAGGTTGTAAGATACTTCTACAACCCGGACGTCGGTATCAAAAAGAAAAAATAATTTTCAAACTCCAGCGTTTAAGAAAAACAAAAATACAGATGAACCGGGTAAAGAAACCGTGGTAAAGAGAAAAACACCACCTACAAAGGATAGCAGGAGAAATTACACATCAAGGAGAACGCGCACACGGCCACAGAGTCAGGTGCCAGCAAGGCCGCCGTTCCGGAAACTGAAACGCCAACAGGAGGCACAAAAATACGAGGAACAGAAGAAATTCAAGAAGGACTCCAGACCGGAGGACGTCAAGACCAGCCGTCCCAGGGAGAAACGGAAAGGCCAACAACCAGACGATTACTCCGTCAAGAGGCCAGCATGTAGAGGACGCAAAAGAAAAAGCAACGTGGACGACACTCGGAGATCAGTAAGGAGAAGATTAACATCCATGAAACCTCTAACTTGGGACCAATTCTGCAAAAAACGATTGACGGAGTTTCAAGCATCGAAAACTCAAAGATAAGTTAAAACCTTCTATAAATTTTTTTTTTTCTCTTTTGTTCCGAAATGTTGTGCATGAGTGCGGGGTTCTATGTTTTGACGAAAGTCAATATGTCTCGGTTGAGACTTAGTTTTGTTTTACTTTATTTAGCTAAGGCAAAAGTATTATTTTCTTTAAGTGTAAAAGCTAAAAACAAGCATTTTCTGTTGGTCGAAAGACTAATTCTGTTATGTTAAAGCCAAAATTTGGCCGAAGATAAAAATAACTTCGTATTCTTGTATTAATAAGAATTTTACTTTCAGTGCCGCCAGCTTGGCGAAGAATGAGTAAAGTAAAAATTTATTTTCTCTTATTCATTTTATGGTAAATTGTAAAAAGCATATGTATTAAACTTTTGTAAATGTATGTAAATACTTGCATGTTATGTAAAAGTAGAATTTAGTCTAGAAGCATAAAATTGTAGATGCTAAAAGTGAATGCTTAAAAGCAATGAAGTCAAAATTTAAGTAGTAAATTGTAGATAAAGTCATGCTTTAGAGCGAAAGCCTGCATGTTTAAAGATGAATGAGGGGGAAGTTAGAATGAATGTGTTTTGTAGGGTTCTCCACCTACATTTTAATTTTTAAGACTATTAAAGTAGCTCATTGAGTTGTAGAATGTCGAGTAAGGTGTGTCTATTTGGTCGTTGAATTCTAACAAATCATGGTGGTTAGGGGAAGTGTTGTAAGACTAAAACACGAATATTCCCGTTTGACACCACACACGGTGGAGAGCCAGGGTAAAGTTAAATTAATGCTTGAAAAATTGAATGAATGTGAAGTAAGCAATAACTAAGAAAAACGAATCGTTTAAAAACAAAAATTTATTGTGTCAAGAAAGTGTAAATTATAATGTATGTAGAAAGATACTGATACTTATTCCTTCCAGATGCTGGAAGGAAAGACCAAGATTGATTGATGAAGTCCAGGAAAAGTTGCTGTAAGAAGAAAGCTTTGTAACGATCAACAGAATTTTAGTATACAAATGGTTACATAAGATATTTTTTTTTTGTGTAAACGAGGTTCTCGCCAGTTAGTTCAGAATTAGAGAAATTTACAACAGGTCGTTTGTAGGACCTGCTTCCAAGTTTTCCAAATTCTGGCAGCGGCAAATGTAGGGTTTATATTTATTTCAACTAACATTTATTTTAAGTTTAAACTATCTTTCCTGTCAAGCCTTACTTTCCCCTGGAACTGCCAATGCCAGAATATGTAAATTTTAGTAGAACGCGCAAGGATTCAAATTATCAGCGGAAGTATTATGATTTAAATAGGAAGGAAACAAGTTCGGTGTGATATTCTTACTGCACGAGCGCGGAGGTAGTTAGCGAGAATTGAAGAACCCCGCGTTGCGGCCTATGTGCTTGGCGGGAAGTAGTGGTAATCGTTCCAGTGAGCTTCAAGTCTGCTGAATTAGCAGCGGTATTGTAAAACGCGGTGAGTTAGTTATTTTAGAGAGCCTCGTAGTTAGAATCTTGTCTTTACTTTCTTTTCAGGTTATTATTTTTATTTGACTGCCAAGTTGGCACAGTCTGTGAGCGTCAAGAGCACGCAATTGTAATTTTATTACGTTGAATAAAAAGGGACTTAAACCCTTCACAAGGCTCTATCTTTTATACAAGTTTTCACAGTCACCTCTTGGTTGCGTGCAAGTTGGAGGCGCGCAACGTTATAAGTTTATAAAACGCATTTTATTAAAAAAATCTGTACTGTTTTCCTGCATAAAATTTTTAATATCAAAATGTTCATCAGATTTTTAGTTCAGTTAGAAAATAGTGCCCATATAAGGAATTCCACCAAATTTCAAGTATGTACCATAAGCCATTTTCAAAATAGCATGCGCCAAAGGTGGAAACATGACGAAAATTTTTGTCACAAAGTGGATTGAATTACAAAAATATTTGTGGCAACACAAACTTTCTGGTTACTAGTTCTCAAAGCAGCTATATTATGTAGTCAGCTGTAATAAGTTGGAAGTAATTGCTTTTAAAATAAATAAAATATCCCAATTCTTGCAACAGTCACATATTCGAAGATCATAAGGGATTTAAGGTGTATGAGCTCCCTTATGTATGAGTTATAAACCTCGTTATAAATAATGCTAAATATAATCAATTCCTTCTCCTGATCGGGTGATATTTCTTTAAAAATGAAGCATAATACAGTTTTTGAAAAAATAATGCATCATTGACATTTTGAGGAAATTATAGAAATTTTTATACTGCAATAAAATTTCAAAAGAAAATGAATTCTCTTACTCTATAGCAATTTTTATAGTTTAGAAACTGAAACGCTAAAAAGCTTCTAATTGCAATAAAATTTTAAAAGAAAATGAACTCTCTCACTCTTCCAATTTTGATAGTTTCGAAAGCGAAAGACTATAAAGCTTCTGTCTGCTTCTACCTGCTAAAGGTGAATTATTTTAAAATACACTGAAATACTTCTTCCTTATATCCATTTATTTTCTTAAATTTTAATAGTTCTTCATAACAGATAGAAAAAGGTAAAGAATAAAAACATATAATTTCACAGAAATAATGATAATTAAAAGTGATTCAAATAATTTGAAGTTAATGGCAGCAAAAGTAAAGAAAATATGAAAAAAAATCGCTAGCACGAATAGTTTTAATTTTTATCATGCAAAGAAAGAAAAATCGATTGCCGTTGTAATTAGTTCCACTTTTTGTATTTCTTTCTTCCATTAAACCTACTACGTTTCTTACTGGATTCTTCCGGAGAAGCTTTGTCTTCGAAGGATTCTTCATTTTTGTGACTAATAACGTGCTGTCGATGACGATTGCTAGGTGAATGCTGAGATTCCTAAATAAAAAATAAGCAAATAGAAACGATCAAAATTTTATAAACAAAATTTAGTATTGAAATATTATGATAGATGCTTGAAAGAAGAATTAATAGAAAGATTAAAAAGTTAAAAGTGCATCTTTGCGCATTAAGAAATTGAATTTTAAAGAGTTATAAAAATGTATAGGATACGAAAAATACACAGAGTAGTAAAATACATTAAAAATTTTATGAGTATATAATCGGGAATCGCCGTCGAGACGGGAAAGTGGTTAGTGACTTTGATTGCCGAACCGACGGGCCCGAGTTCGAATCCCGAAGAAGGCATGGATGTAACTTGTCCGCCTCCTCATAGGAGGCGCAATGGCCAACCTATTCACAATAAAATGATCACTGCTTGCTGTCTTAGTAGTGGCCAATGCCTATAAACGGTTAGAGTCCGCCATCGGGGGGGGGGAATCGGGAATCGGAACAAGAAAGAAGGCAGTTCTTTGCACACATTTATCATGCTAATCGGGTAAAATATCAGAAGTCGATTTTAAAATTTCAAAGATCTAAAGAAAAAATTCAAGTTTAGAAGGAAGTTTGTATCGAAAGCAAACTGTCATGCATATAGTACATACGGAATACTGTACAAAAGGATGAAAAGAAATTGTTAACTTTATTTTATTGTTTTCTCTCAGAGGATCACCATGCTGAACTATGTACTCAGGGCATAAAGAATGAAAGCTTGACTTACTGAAAGGGATCTGACAGGTAATCGATTATTCTAAAAATAATTTCTATAGCTTGGAGCAACTTAATACGAACGATCTATATCTTTTACTATTAATAATTTAGATAATGTGGTTGTCTAAATTGTTTTAACATAATACACGAATTTTATTGTTCTATCAAGAACTATTGTTTATAACTATGATAATTATTTTTATTATATTATTTATAATATATATTATTTATAATTATTTCAGATCTTCAATACTATGCCAAAAAATACGAATAGGTATTTTGCTGGTTTTACCCAAATTCATCATATAAACTCTATTTCGATGCTTTACATTACAGCAAAATAGAAATCTATCTGTTCTCCTAGGATTCGAATAACATTTATTATGTCGCTGTTCCTTTGTTTGTCACTAGTCCCGGTACTGGCAATGAGGATAGGCCTTATAATTACTCGTAATCATTGATGGATACATTTGCTTCAGCTTTGGTAATATGCGCTTATGGTTGAGCAGTTGGACTGCTGCTTTTGAAGCTATAAGCATTTAAAAAGACAACGCAACTTTGCCCACCTCATTCGCAATTTTGATTGAGAACTCGCTAAAAGGAATGGAAACTAAGAATCTATTATTTTTCTCTTCTCACTACCATGTTTTGAAAGAGTTTCTGAACTATCGGAGTTTAACCAAAGAACTCCTATCTACAATTAGAAAATAGTCACGAATATCTCTCATTTATTACGGATGCGAATCTGTATCCATCGACATTGGTTTCTCCGCTGGTCATCATAACGATCGAGAGATTAGGATCGTTATGAATAATTATCAGATGCCAAAATTCGATGTTTTGCAAATTTTCGGTTTTTCGCATGTTATGTATATCTAAGCCACTGACACATTATTTAAAAAATAACATGGAAGTTATGCAAATCTGATATAATTTGTAAGGTATTTTATATTAATTAACCAATTATTATAATTTAGGTCTTTAATATAGCTTTTCATATTCGTAATTCTCACCTATAGGAATTAGGTTTTCGGGTATTTAAACTGAGGGTTCTGAATGTGTAGTACAGAGCTTCTGGTAGCAAGACAGCTTTCGGCAGCTCTGCTTATGTTGTATTCCGACTTGAGCGTCTTATTGGCCGTTGTTTGCTAGCTTCGCTAGGTAACGTTTAAAAAAAATCTGATGTGTACACCACATGACTTCCTTGTACGGAATATTAAATTATACGCCTTCTTTCTTGCATTTCGCTTAAACTTATTGGATTGAATTAAATCTACTTCGCCGACAGCGCATAAACCACAATAGAATAAATGCATTCTTTAAAATTCACTCGATTTGTTTACCATAGCGACACGCTGGCGCTAGGTTCACTTAACAGTATTATATTTCGTTCATATTATAACTCAGAATGCACAAAATTTATATCATTTAAAGAATTATCTTATTATTATCGTTGCCACATGTTCTATTCAAATACTATAATAAAGCTAGAATAATGTATAAAAGAAATTAAGCAAACAAAACAAAAAAGAAACTACTATCTACAAATCTCATCGATTGCGAAAGATTATTTTTCACAGACGATTGAGTATTTCTCATTCAATTAATTCAGTTCTCACTTCGCGAGAAGGCAAAAATACATAAAAACTCAAAATATCTATATTAAAAATAACGAAGTAAATCTTAAACACTTATTTCCTCGAAAAAAATTCCAGAAAAGATTAAGCATGATTTAATTGGCAATAATAAATGAAGGCGTTATCTTTATTATTGCGAAGCTAAGTTTCTCTAAGCTAAGTTAAGTTAATTGCAAACAAATCCACTAGTCTGCTGTTTCAAATGTAAACAATCAATGGACGCCATAAAAAAAAAAAAAAAAAAAAAAAAAAGGTTTAGAGGCACTTAAAAAACTTTAAAATTGTTGATAATTCTAAAAATATTGCATACAGATTTACTAAAGGCATAAAATCTTTAACCGGAAGATAAGAACAACATAATTCAATCATTTGTAAAGCAAAAAATGTGCAATTTACAAACATACAAGAGTAAAGAAACTGAGATCACTGAGCCGGGTAACAGAGTGGATATATATATAAATATATTTATATACGTTTGGTGCTGCCCGATTGCAACCAAAAATACGAGGTGCGCATCTACATGTTTAGCAGTCCTATATACAAAATTTCAACGTCCTGAGGCTACTCGTTTTTGAGTTATGCGAGATAACGTACGTACATACGTTCGTACAGACGCCACGAAAAATTCTCTTCAAAGTTCACTTTAAAGCAGTTTTATAATTTTTTTGGAGGAAAAGAGTCTTTTATTCTGTCCTTACGTACAGATATCACGCAAAAACATCGTTAAATTGCATTCGAAAGCGGTCAAAATGGATATTTTCTTTGAAATATGCTGCCTGAAACTTTTCTCGATTACAATACTTCCTTTTTACTTCGTACAAGGAAGTAAAAAAGCGCCATAAAATATCTGAGCCAGTTTTGAGTGGTGTATTTTATGTGTAGTCTGTTACTTTGAAATTTAACTCTCAAATAAAACAGTGCAAGTCGCGCCGGTTTGTTTATTGCAGAAGTTTTCCCTTTCCGTTCATTTAAGAATTAAATAAAGAAGATTATTTTAACCGTCTCACGACTTTCTGATTAATTTCAGACCAGGCGATAACTTGCTATCATTCTAGTAGAGAATGCAAGACTTTAACACAAGCTTCTAGATACATTAGAACCTTACAAATTCGTCCTTCTTTTAAAATACCGAAACTACTTTTTATTGCGAATTATAATGCTTTTAAGTTTTATGTAAGAAGTCATTTCTAGTCACAATACGAACCCTTCTTGAGTGTCCTCTAAATGTTCTCTCGGGATATTCTTCTTCTTCTGTAGCATCCCTTCTAGCACCCGGTTTGTACCAATAACTGCCAGATGCGGTGGGAGTTTGACTCCTGTCTGGGTCTGCCCGTTTATCTCTACCATATGAAGGAGAACCTGGATACAAATTTTTATTATTACTCTATTTTAATATCGTTCAATTCTGTTTAAAGTCTTAAAAACGAAAGAAAACATTTTAAGGATTCTTTATATATTCAATTACGTTTTAATTATATGTTAATATTACAAGCATAGCATTATAACCTAGATACACTGACGAAGGATTCCGTTTTTTCTTGAAAATGAAGAATAGGTAAAAATAAAGTTTATCTTTTCTTAGATCAGATACGAGTTATATTTGAAGAGTTAAACATAGTAACGAATATTTATAACGGTATAATATTTCAATTCCTGCGATATAAATGAATCATATATCAATATTCTTTTACTATCTAGTTTTACACTGTATTTAGCCCGGAAGTATAATTCAGTTATTAATATTATCTTAATTTATATTGCAGAAAAGAGAAAATTAAAGGTCACAACAGAATAAAATACACATAAAAGAAAATCCTTTAAGAATTTCAGAAACATTCAATGGAATTAAAAAAAAACCTACAAAATTTATAAAGTAGTCAAGGAACGTAACAAATTTTAGTAAAATTGGAGGAAAATACTCAATATCAAACTTAATTTGCAATGAAAAGGATTATATAATTGCCAATAATACTTTTTTCTTCAGATTTATTGCAGAGGATTCAAATCAGACATACTAGTACTGTATTCAAACACGTATCTGACGTAATCTTTGATGGCTTCGATGGCCATAATACTAGTAACATTATGTACTCCCTTATACATAGATTACCTTCACAACTAATTACTACTATCTACAAATCTCATCGATTGCGAAAGATTATTGACAGAGCAGCATATTAAATCGACTAACTAGACTTCCAGTAATGAGAAATCGAGATCATCTGGTAAGATTTAATGATTCTGGAATATACATTATGAATCTAGGGGGCAAGAGTATTCCTCCGCATTATAAGGAGTTATGCAAAAATTATCAATATTAAATTAGATCTGTAGTTTAATGTTAAAGCCACATTAGAAGTTTTAGTTTTAAAAAATGGAAAAAAAATCAGAAGTATTTTTTTCAAAAATTACATGATTACCTTTCGAAACTTTTATGAGTACTTTAATAATATAATAAAAGCTGGAAAAATGATCCCCTTTCATTAAAAAGTCAGTATTATTTCGTCGCATTTCTAGATTTCCTCGACCTCTTTATGTCGCCAAGTTCTTTTCATTCTAAGACTTACTGATTTATCACACATTCGTTGCTATGAACAAAACTAATTGTATACAATTAGTTTTGTTCAACAACGAAAAAAATTGTTGTATACAATTCGTTTTGCTCATGCAACAAATGTACTAAATTTTTTTTGTAATACAATTAGTTTTGTTCATAGCAACGAATGTAATACAATTTTTTTGTTGTAATACAATTAGTTTTGTTCATAGCAACGAATGTAATACAATTTTTTTTGTTGTAATACAATTAGTTTTGTTCATAGCAACGAATGTGTGATAAATCAGTAAGTCTTAGAATGAAAGAACTTGGCGACATAAAGAGGTCGAGGAAATCTAGAAATGCGACGAAAATAATATTACTGACTTTTTAATGAAAGGGGATCATTTTTCCAGCTTTTATTATATTATTAAAGTATTCATAAAAGTTTCGAAAGGTAATCATGTAATTTTTAAACTTTGATTCTTCAAACAACATTCAGAACGAAGAAGAGATGTCTGAAACTCATTTCAATTAAATGAATTCCAAGCAGCGTTCTAATTACGATGCAGTCTCTGTGATCAATGCGTGAAATAAGAAAGGGAATACTTTGAAGGAATAGGAGACTATAATTAAGTTTGAAAAATTTGTTTGGCCTTGCGGTGTGAAAAAACAGGAGAGTATATAAGACTACCCTCTGCCCACAAGACAAGAAAGTATCCAAATAAGCTTGTTGCTGGTCTCGGTAACGCAGACGTAAGTGACAGGATCCTAAACTCTAGATCTATTCCAAAGATAAGAACTTAGTAAATTTAAATTCAGAATAAGTTATATTTATCTTTAAAAGAAGAAATAGCATAGAAAAGAATAGGACGGTGAAATATTTAAGAAATGTATATGACAGATCCCATTTAATAAACAGAAAACTCTGAGTATAGTATTAATATGGTTAGAAGATTAAATCCTAGAATAAATAACCAATTAGTTAATCAAAAGTTTCACCTTCGTGTCCAGGAGAACGATTAGGCTCCGTTGTGTCTCTGTATTGAGGTGATCGAGGCGAATCAGGAGCAACTGGAGCATACATGTGAGTCGGAGATGGCGCCTGAGAAACATCTGCTGGGGGAGTCAACGAATACTGGACAACAGAGGGAGTGTCCGTACTTTCCACTACGATAAAATACGAAAGAAATACTGAGAAATTTGTAAGGTATATTTTAATTTTATAGCAGTTATTTTAATTTAGTTAACCTTTCCTATCGTTCCTCGTTTCAACTTACAATTCCCTACCAGAATAAGGTTTCAGAATAGCGTTGAATGAAAACGAGTAAGAAAGAGTGTTTAAGGAAGGTTCAACTTACTTCGAGAGAGAGAACTAGGAATCCGGAGTAGCGCGCGTTTGCCTTTGGGCTAAGTCTCTCTAACTGCTGTTACGCTCGGTCTATGTTACGTGCCTTTTGATAGTTCGCCGGCTAATTTAAAATTAAGATCCAGCTACGTTAGAATTGTGTTATATTCGTCTAAATCTCTTAGTTAGATATACTTAGTTGTTATTCCTTATTTTTGAGTGTTGTAAGCCCGAAGAAGGGACCGACAGTTCATCTTATTTTGAGTGAAATAAAGGATAATTAACTCTTCTTGAGTTTATGATATCTGTTATTTGATCTAAGCGATAATTCGCTTAACAGTTCATAAGGTTCCTTGACATTTAATTCAGCAGAATAAAAGCGAGGAACTCTACAACTTTAATTTCAGTTATCTCATGTAAACTAATTATAGGAATTTATAGTGCTTAAATTTCAGTGTGATTATTTTAGCACATTCGTAAAATGCGAAAAAATATCATAAGCAATTCAATTAGTGCATTTTCATTCAATCACAAACGGTGGTGTGGTGTATTTAATTATGGCAAAGCACACTAGGGCTATCTGCCTAAGAGGAGGGATGCCTTTCGTGGAGGACTTTCTAAGGGAAACTGGCTCGTATACACGTTACACATGGGGAAAACCACGAAAACACCCATGCAGCCAGCCCGTTCGCGGGATTCGAACCTCGGACCGAACTACCAGTGTTCAGCGACTTTACCGCTCGGCCGCTGGTGGGCCCAATCACAAACGTATGCACTAAAACATTCCGTGGCATGTTAAATAAATTACGCAAAATAAAATAAACATAACAAAATAATTAAGATTGCAGACACACACACTTCACAAGAAATAAAAGCAACATTTTAATGATGAGGGAAAAAGTGAAAAAGATCGATTATCAGATTTACTAACTTGCGTCACTTCGAAGGGAATGTAATATTGGTTATTTAATTATGAAGATTATTCGAGAACAAAAAGGATTTTAATATTTTTCTAAGTATAACAACAATTAAATGAAAAAAGAGAAAATGAAAATTAATATAAGACTATATGTATACCAGAATCTCCATACTGTTTCCTTATGGTTGCTCTTTTGCCTAACCTACTTGATTTAATCTCATCGTCTGAACTGTCGGTACATTCTTTGTCACTTCCACTTCTGCCTACAAACATAAAATCCATAAGTTAATTTCAGGTAAATATATTTCTCTTTATAGAATCAAAGCAACCAATCTATAGACATAAATTAATACAGGACCCCCGATTAGCAGACACCGGATTCAATAATTTTCTCACACTGGTAGTTCAAGAAGATGAACGAGCTTTTATGCATTGAATAAACTGCTAAGGTTTTCAATGAAAAAGCTTAAGGCTGATTCAGATTGGAAATAAATAGTTTTGATGTCCGAAAGTTCTATTGAAGTAAGTGCAATAGTATAGGGACCCCAATGAAATTATTTCCACGTTTCAGGATCTAGAAATATAAATAAAGGGAACACAGAGATATGAATGAAGAGGAGCGAAAACTATGAACGTTATAGGATTTTATCCCGTCAAAAAAACAGTTTAAGAGAAGCGAGTGAAAGCAAGCGAAGCAAGGATGGCCACGGAGGCCTGTGGAATGTGTAGAGAAGCTGTTAGCTGTGACTGAACAGACTGAGGTAGAATTTAATGACATCAAAATTTCGTCAGTGTTATCCGCATTGTCTGAAAATTATCAATATAATTACAACAGATACATTGATAACATCTTAAAATATTTAATTGTTATTCCTTAACCGTTTATTTAACTGAATCTATAACACAAGTATAAAAACACCAACGAAGACGCTTACAATAGTGACGTTCAAGCTTGTTTCTTAGAAGTATGTTTGTGTGCTCTGAAACATTATCTTATAAGGATAGCAAGTGTTGTTAAGTTTTAAATAAAAGAAGCCTGGTGTTTAATGATTATTATGTTCTCTCGATTTCTACGAATCTCAGCTACAAATTTTTCACACGATTTGTCATGTATTATAATGGCCAAAGCCTGAAATCTGGATACATATGTCATTGGTCAGCTGATGCTTAAAAAATGCAAAAAATCACTCTTACCTTCGAGTTTTAGCCAACTAGTTCTGGCAAAAAGAAACTGGCCAAAATTAGAAATTATATTTACTTAATTTTTAATGACTTTTCATGAAAATTACATTTTTAGCGTTTGATATTTAATGCAACTGTTAAAAGCTCCATGTTTTCATTAGTACAACAAGCTTAGAAATCCCTACGAATCTTCTTGCCTCGCGAAACTGAAATAAACATATACAGGTATGAAAAAATAAAAATGCGTATTCAGTACGACTCAAATTTAAGATTATTTTTAATTTTTGTGCTTTACATTAAATTCGATTATTAGCTGCAGGAAACCGAAGGTTGCGATTACAAAACAAAGAATATCTCTAATAAATTACGAATTTAAAATTCACTTTTTTTAATGATTCACCTTTATAAAAAAATTCTGAAATTTTATTTGTGTATTTTGTTGAGTTTTGAAAATGGCAGATCACAGTAAGAATAGAGATTGTGCAATTTAACGAGATGACTCTTCTTCAATCTGTATGATTTGAATTAAAAAGTAACAATTAATTTGACTATTTAACTTCAGTGTCTTTTATGTTCTACTTTTGAATGTTTTTCGTCATGCTATTTTTATTCTACTTCTGGAAGTTCACCTCTGACATTTTCTTAAAATTTTACTGACAGTTAAAACTACGTTAATTCTTTTCTTTAAGCTTCGTTTCGTCACGTACTGGATCAGTCCAGAAGGTTACGCAGGTTTTAGGATAAGGCTCGTAGTTTTAAATCGAGGAGAATCATAACCGGCATGATCTGTGCTACGGACTTGGCTGTTGTCGACATTGCTGTTTGCAGAAAAGTTGCTGATCAGAATAGACATGAACGCCTGACATTTGGCATGGTTTGGCAAGTGTTAAACGTTAATTGAGCTCTATTTTCCAATTAAACTGGTGTAGTAACTTCGCGTAGAATCAATGAAGCCAGTTAATCTATTTTAAAAATATAGCGAGTTGCTGTGTAAGGATTTTAAGTTTTACTAACGTTTAATTTATTTTAAAACTTTGCTATCGTCTCTTATTTTCCATTTCCAGCCAGAATAAATGCGAACAGATTTGGTTGTGAAAATTCAGAATGCAAACTATTCCATTAAGTATTTAAGTTGTGGCTTTTAGGTAAGAGACAGAGACAGAGAGAGACTTCTCGCTGCCTTACCACGCGCGAGCTTTTCAGTCAGTTTCTGTCTGCCTTTAAGGCCAGAACTTAGTTCTCTTCGATACTTCAAGATGTATCCTAGTTTCTCGCATTATGTTCACTACATAAGAAGAGTTTAAACAATCTTCGCGTTACTAGTCTTTGTAAAGTATATGAGTTTAGTTCTTATTTAATTTAGTTTTATTTCTTATTTTATACGTTTCAGACCATAAGTACGGTTCCTTGTATCCCGAAGTGCGGGAACGGCTGTAAATGTGAGAAATAAAGGGTAATTAAACCCTTCCCATTTGTGTCTTCCCATTTCTACCCGTCTCGCACGAACATAGTTTTAAGTAAACTCCCTGTTCCTACTCAGGACTCCAGTTATGTATGTAAAGACAATTAGAAGAAATAGCAGTCCTGACAGCTGTAGTCAAAAAGACTTAAATTTTGCTCTGTATTATTTTAAGTTAAGCTCATCGACCGTAAGCAAATAAAGTTTCAAGTTAGCTTTCCCATTTTGTCTAGTATCTTGAGCCCACAGTCAAATTAAGCGAAGGCTACAATTCTCCGACACACAGAGACGACATCTATGAGTGAGCAGTTAGCTAAAAGGAGTTTGTTAGGTAGCTAGACACAATTAAAACATTATAAAACTGGACTTTAAAGCAACAGTAAATATACTTTAGACAGTCCTCTGCAGGAAAACGGAACAGTGCGTTTTTTTAAAGGCGTAAAAATCACATAAAACAGATAAATAAATGATGATTTTGATATTATGATTTGTTTTTTTGACTTTTATTTGCAAGTCGTGGAAGAAAGGTACACATGTCATTCATTGATATAAGTGTTAAAACCTACATTTTTATTACTAAAAATACCTTTATTTATCATTATTATGTAATTAGAAGCAGACATAATTTGCGGCGTTAGAAACATCTCGTATTAATTACAGTACTACAACAGCTGTTCATAAAAATTGTCAGTTAGATATAAACTAGACGTATTTTACTTCATTTAGATACATTATAAATTAGATGAATTTAAGTTAATATCAGTTAGATATATTATTAAATACAACGTAATAAAGATTTAAACTAGGACATGCGTTTGTTCTTTTTAAAATGCTCAGTGACTAAATTTGAAAAACAAATTAAAGATGTCATGCTTTGTTGAATGACAGCACTCTGAGAATCTGTTGTGAGAGAGGATTCGTGGAAGAAAAATATGTTTCGCGCAGCTGGCAACAGTTGTCAAGGCACATAGAGGAGAAATGCTTAATCTAGATTCTTTTTCTTCCTCTTCCGTCAATTTCTAAGGCATGATCGTGTCAACGTCAATTAATATTTAATTGATATTAGCAACATCTTTTCGAGGTATAAATTAATCAAAATAAAAATAAATAAAAATTTTAAAAAAATCCGAACATTGAACATTATTATTTAATTTAGGCTTAAGTTAGAGCAAGATATTAGACTGAGAAGCTTATAATAAATCTGTCATAAAAACCTTGATTTGCAGATAAGTGCGCATTTGTAAACAATATCAAATTATGTTTAATGTATTAAAATTTATCTTTTGAAAACCTTAAAAAAATCTGAAAGGTTTCAAATTTTACATTACGCCCAAAGGGACTTTTTTGTGTGTTACCTTTATTTGTTAAATATCATGTTCTTCGCAGTTAAACCAATTAAAATTCAATTCAACGGCAATAGCATATAAAATATTTAAAAGTACCATATTTTTAGAATTTCCGATATTCAGTGTCACGTGCTAAAGATAAAAATGCTTTTTGTTGCCATTGCTCGCTTTGAAATTGTTGTGTTTGTTAATAAAAATTCATTAAAATTTACAAGGCTAATAAAACAAATTAAAAATTCTGGCTTTCATGTGCCCATGTTCGGGTGAGGATTACGTTATAGAAAATTTGATGGCTCTAGGTATCGTCGTTTTTTCGCAGTGCGAGAAACGTACATACATTCATGCAGATTCTTCATTACTTAACTTTTTAAGTATAATACGAGGCGATAATATTTGATGGCAACAATTTTAAAATTGGTATGCCGTTTATAGTGAAACGCCACTAAATGCCATTTTGAGACTAGTCTCAAAATCTCCTTCTGGGCTCCTTTGGACTTGCAATAAACTAAAATGAAATAAAGCATATAATTTTAAACATTTCCTCAAAGATGCTAAGATCGCATTCTTCTCCTTTCACAAATGGGTATTTTAAAATGCATATCATCATACTAACAAACTGGACAAACAAGTAAATATTTAAACATAGCAGTGTTAAAACTTAATCATTAATAATCACTAATTAATCATTTATCTAGTTTATGTTTTTTTTTTCTCTTTGGAGAAAATGTTTATAATTGCTTATTCATTTAGTTATTTATATTTATATTTTATTTTATTTTTCTTTATGTAGGGAAATTTTCATGGATTTCTAATGAAAGTACTACTAATAAAATGTAGCATTTCTGTGTATTATACTGCAATGAAAAAAATAAAATATTTGGATTATTAATTTGAAATTTATAAAAAAACACAAAAAAATTACATGATGAATAAAAAAGAATTTTTTAATGCTAGGCACAGAATGAAGCTCAGTAAAACATATTCTGTCTTGAGAATTAAACGCTCCTAAATAAGGTCTGATTTAGCTTAAAACATATTAAACCTCGTCTTGCCTGAGCGAATTATCTTCTCCATATACTAATTAGAGTCTGTAAGCAAACGTCACACATTACACAAAGAAAATTCATTAAACAGTACCTCACAAACAATTACTGGCATATTTCTTGACAAAATGCTGTATGGGACCACACATCTTCATACACAGAATGTCTCACAGCATAAAAAGAATACTCACAAACAACCAAGTTTTTAAGTATTTTAACGTTCATAATTTGTTGATGGAAGACGCATATGAGGCTAATTTTAGAAGTGACATCAACGTTACATCAATGGACAGTTATGGGAATCAAACGACAGTTTTCTAACATAAAAGTAATTACTAACATGGGTCAATAAACGCTGATTTAATACCATATTAAAAATCAGCTTCTTTATCATGCCCTCAAAATGTCTGTGCTTCGTCATCATAAAGCTAGCTTATTACTACCGCGTTTTTTTTTCCGCTGGAGGAGGGATGTTGTTACTTTATTCTTAAAGACTTCTTATTTTATTCCTCCTGCTATATAAATTAAATTCCTGATCATCGTTATTTTACTGTAATATTGCCAAAAGAAGCTTCATGATGGTATTTACAATGTCATTTTCTCTAAAGGCATACTTTAATGTAGCAGAGTACCAATTATTCGATGTAAAGAGACTGAAGAGCAGTCAGATAATACAGAGTTGCCACGATCAGTTATTAAAATACATCTGCTGATAATGAAAACTTCATTAAAAACTTGAAGGTACAAAAGGTAGACATAATTACTACACGTTTAAATCAGTAACTAATTTTATCTTATCATCTCTTTGCATCATGATAACTGGGAATTTACAGTACTTATCAAAATTAAATGCTTGAGGATACTATGCGGAAATTCAGTCAAATTATTGTAGATCATGTTAAGTCAATCTGTTACCTTTGGATTGCAACCAGGAGTTGTACGATTTTACAGGAGATCCAGTACTTTGTTCTGCTGCCTTTGGTGGAGGTGCCGTCGAACTATACTTGCTTGTTTCTGTTTTCCTTCCAGGCAAGATATATTTTGGCAGACCCTTGTAAAACCATGCGCCAGATTTTTTCCAGGTCTAAAACAAAGAAACTGAATGAATTGTATACTTAACCTACTTTATGATATGATTAGAAACATAGATTATACGTATATTGTGCAAATAAAAATGATTATAACTTTTTTTTAAGTATTTGTATTCGATTAGGATAATATAGAACGAACACTTAATTCTTAAACTCATTTATTACTTTAATAAAAAGTGAAAAAATATTTTATGCAAAACCTTAACTGAAGGCATAGCTTTAATTTATCTGCCATCCGGGATATTTATTTTTATAATACTATATGAGGTACACGTATTGTACATTCTAGGTTATTAAACCAAGAAACCTTCTCCAAGTTCAAATAACAGCTTATTGTACGTGATTTATTTCTTCTAAATACAACAAAACAGTTAAATACTAAATGCTAAAACTGTTGATATTCAATTTCAAAGTACCATAAAAGTACTTTTAAGTAGTCAATCCAAATGAAATAATAACAGAAGATGCTGTAATATAAGTAAGAAATTAAAAATAATATGAAATATCTATATTTCGCTGAATATGTTGGCATCTTGTCATGCCGAAGAGCATTAAAAATCGCAAAATATATTCAGCGAATGTTATTCATTTTCAACGGAACTTTCTTTTCATTTTTTAAAAAAAATCATGGATTCATTGTTTTGTTAGGAAAGACTCGGATTACTATTTTTTAACAGATGCAAAATGCATTATTTTAATGTATTTTAATCTATGAATCCTGTTACACTTTGAGATTTCATTTGTGTAGACATTACAAAATAAAAATAATAAAAGAAAAACAAGCAACTGAACCTTTGGTGGAACCAAACACCATTATTTACACCTTAAAATATCTCAAACTAGGAAAAGTAATAAAATGAAAATTTTAAAGTCTATAACATAGAAATATGCGTTTCTCAATTTCAGCTGATAAATTCAAGAAAATATTAATTAATCTTTTTTCCTCAAAATTTTGTTATGCTGAGATGCAAGAAGTTATTGGTAGTTTTATAAATACTCATAAAAATATCCGTGATCTTATACATTATCGAAGAAACACCCTCATATATAAAATTTTTTTAAAATGCACAAATTTAGAAAAAAAAATTTAAGATATACTAAATCTGAATTGTTCTTACCTCTCTAGTTTCAGCACATATTTTGCAAAGCCACAAAGGTTCCTTATGGGCACTTACGGTATCGACGCCACATTTGGTACAGACTGCCTACATAGAGTGGAAGGATACACTTAAAAATTTCATAAGGTTGAGAAATAAAATTTTTCGGAGGAGCACTTTACAAACATTTTGTTTGACATTAAATAAAAAAAAATATTGCTAGTTACCATTTAGACTTCAATAGATGAATGAGTACCTAAAATCTACATTATTTTACGAAATGATACTGAATTCTCACTCTACAAACATTGTATATCATCAAATGATGCGGGTAATGGACGAGAAGAAAGTACTATTGTTGTCTGTTTCTAAAATATATTTAACGAATTCTAACAAGTATCGCAGTTATTTCCGTGCGCATATTTTGTTTTCCATTTAGAAGTACTGTAGGGTTTCTTGCGTTAGTTACCTCCCTGTAGTGGAACAAAAAGAAACTATTTTCAAACATTTTCTGCTTTGAAACAGCAGAGATGTTTGCAAAATATACTAAATGTTAAATACAAATGGAAGTACTTAATTGGTGAGATGGTGGGACGGAAGCGTCGGGTCTTAAGCGCTGGGACAAAAATGTCCCGCTTCGTTACATAATATTATAAAATATATACTTTCACATTCTTTTAAAATGTACTACTAGCCACAACTTATAATAAAAGAAACAACTAAACCCTCCGGAATGTTTTACAGTTAGGACAAGTCACCCTATTTCCCAAAGAAATTTTATACTTTTAAAGAAAACCATACTTATCGACAATTTAATTTAAAATCACATCTGGAAAAACTTTATTATGATCAAAATAAAACCTCAGTTTATCGTATATGTTGAGTTGGCGCAGCTGCTGCTGATAGTTAAAAGAAGGCATATAATAAAATTTCCAAGAGATATTTCGTGATATTCTTAACTCCTGCTTTATGAACACAGAACAGAATATGGCAAAAAATATTTTGAGAAATAATATACCTTTTTGCAATCATTGCATAACAGAGGTGATGCTGCAAGGATGCCGAACTCATCCGCACATAAGACACACTGGGTAGATCCATTGCCCATTGCGTTCTTCTTCATGTTGTCTAATCTTTCCACTAAGCGGCTACCAATAAATAAAATCAAAGATGTGATTTCATCACCATTGAAACTTTATTTTCAGAAATAAACGCTACAGGGTATTTATTCATCACAAGGATAAATGGTACACAGACAGGGGTGAATGGTAATGAAAATTGGGTTTCAGTAACTCATTTCTAAAAATATTAAATAATGACTAGTTAAGAAATAAAATCAATTAATTATCTAATAGGATTCAATGTAGACATGAATACACTTCCACGAAAAATAAAATTAAAACTAACGTAACTACAGTGAATAAATTCGTGTTGTGGTACCAAAATTTTAAATACAACGCAGTTAACAATTTGTGATAAAATTTAAATTGCCAAGTCGTATCTTGTAGTAGTATTATAAAAATATACAGAAAAAAAGTGGCATTTATGATATGGCATCTGTAGTTCGTTCTTCATTTAGTAAATTTGTTTATTTTACTTTTGATTTTTTTAAGTATCTCCAATCTTACTTTCTTGTTAAATTTCATCACTTTACTTTTCATGGTTACCTACGTCATAAAACTCTGAGTTATTTTGTTTAAGATCTTAATCTTCGTATTTAAGTGAGGGTTACAAGACTGAAAGCTGACGAGCAAGTAATCGCATATGGTTTTCCTAATAAAGAAATTTATTTACTTGCTTAATACTTCGAAGGTATCCTCATCGGGATGTTTATTATTTTCAGTTCGCGGATTTCATGTCCTGCCAAAATAAAAAGTATTGCTATTTGAAAAAAACATTTGCTGCAAATCTTATGCTCCGACCCAGTGAAAGAAATGCACAGCTACATCTTTAACAACTTTCTTTTTTATTAAATAAATTTTGCTTATTCTTAAGCGAAACCTTAAAGTTCTTTCGTTCATTTTAAATTTAATATTTCATGTTTTATACCTTTAGTTTAGACTTAATTAAGAGTTTTTAATTTGCAGTGTGCTTTCTTCTTTTCTAGATTAACCTTGACTTATTTTCTCCATTAAACTCGAAAGCTTTGTTAAGATAATAATATCGAGATATTTACAAGAAAACCTTTACTTTTATAAGTATACTAACATACCTTTTATGGAGCATCACTCTTAAATAAGATAATGAGATAACGAAAAGATAATGCGAATGGATCAAGCAATAACAACAGTGGCTATGAGAAACTTTATAAAAAGAACACTATTAAATACTGCAGTCATACCCCACTCGTTCTTGTTCCACTTTTTCCAAGTTCTCCGCTCTCTTGATAACATTCATAATGGCTTCTTGTTCAGCATCATTCAGCTGTGCTGGTTTGTTAAATGTGTTCATGGAATTTGTTTTCACAGACCAGCCAGTTTTTAACCTAGAATTAAAAGACATTGTTCTAAATAGGTACTTAACTGATACAAATAAAGTACATATCTGTATAACATTTACGACGAACATCTATTTACAGTGATCTACACTTAACTTTAAACTTTTAATATATGATAAAACAAAATTACATATTTTTAGTTTTATTTTTTTAAAAAGATTTTCTCTTATTTTTCAGATTACAAACAATATTATCTTTGGTATATACTAATTCTGTAAAATATCGTGTATTATTTGTTACATTTACAATGAAATTCAGCATTTCAAAGCTTTCTTCGATTTCTCTCTCTTTTTTAAAAGTCTTAATAAAATTGTTAAATAATATACACTTTCTTCTTTAATGATTTTTTAACATAGTCATACCTTTTTACATTTCGCATACAATCTTAGATTTTGTAAAACAGTTTTAATATCTTTCTTATTTGCCTTTCCTTGCTTTCGAATAGTACCCTGTAGCTGTTCGTTTTTTTCTATGTATTGTTACGAAACGCCCAGTTGCGGTAAGATAGCTTCACCCCGCAAAGCGGGTTTAGGGTTGCCAGATTTGGCGCGAAATCGCCCATTTCGAGACAAAATCGGCGGTATGCCATAGACGGAGTGAGAACATTCTGGAAATTCTTATTAGTTTGCGCTAGAATGTTCTCGAAGGCAGGCCAAAAGCTATATAAACTCTGCCTGTACGCGGAGTAGCAGTCTAGGGTCGAGTTAATGGTGGGTTTATCATCGAGTGCATCGCGACAGTGCATTGTCGAGTGCATCGGGAGTACGTTGAGTTCCGAGAGCGTTCGACTGAGTCGAGAGTTGTATTTAATGTTTTGCCGTGAAGCTATCTTCACTGTTATATCCTGATATTCTGAAGGCTGCGTTGCCGACTGTTTCAGCGTGTTTGTCGTAGTTTTTCGACTACTGTAAACGTGTTTTAAGAACTATTCTCAGTAATACTGGCAAATTAATTGTGTTTTGATTCTTGCTCAAGTGTTGTAGTCAATCACTCCAAATCCACGAAACCGTACAACGCAACAGTATGTTCAGCCCCGTCTTCTTTTCTCCGCGTTATTTCATTTCCTTGCCATTAACTACGTTAACAGATTTTTTTTAATTTTTCCATGGAACTATTTTAAAATATTCTTTTTACATGTTAAAATATCTTCCGTTAAAAACGGATATAAGAAAAGAAATCTTATATCCTTGCCATGATAAATATAACTAATTTCTGTTCCTGTTAATCATAAGAAACGCAGGAAAGAGCAGTTGATATTACTCTACATCAAATTGAGAACACTTTTTTTTTGTATAATAAGTGTGTAAGCTATTTTATTCCTCATTATGACTATTATTTCGTGATATAATTGGAAGCATGTCCGGTTAACGTTTGCAAGGGCGGAGTTCGAATTTCGGTTAGGGTATTGCACATTTATCACGTCTTCTGGTACGAAGTAAAATGCCTAATGAGTCTACAATGGATGTCATTAAATTCATGAAAGTTTCCGCCAAGATGTATGAATCCTTGTCAAACCACAGTTTGAAATCGGACTACACTTGTCTGACTATCAATAATGAAGGCAAAGTAATTGTGTCCGCATTTTTCCTTACCTGTAACCTGCCAGGATGTGCTGAGTCAAATTGTTTCGAAAGCTGATTCAGGAGATTAATGTTGCAGTGTCCATAAAAGACTGAACTTAAAGACTTATTACGCAGTTGTTTTAGCTCAAGGAAAATTACAAAAGTGAAACTTAAATCTGTAAATCAATATCAACTACAATAAGCATGTAATTTTTGAAGGAAATAGATTAAACTCACTTAGCTCTAAGAGAGAGTTCTCTGTCATTCGGGCACACCCACTTATCTTTGACCACTCCGAAATCACCCATGCTGCCACCTCTGGGACGAAAGGAAGACCACTTATCCAGTTTGCTCAGCTGGAAGTATCTGGAGGTATGGAAAGAAACGTACTTACTTCAGAACTAAATGTTATTAAAAAACGCAAAATCTTGAAAAAAATGACAATAATTGACGTTTTTATGTGTAATTTTAATTATGCTGCTGCTCATACAAACGATTTAATTGTAAAGAAGTTAAGAAGTGCTCATTGAAAGAAAATCTCTTAGCCTGAAAATTTCATTCTTTTTTCTTAAATATTCAACAGACGCTCAGGTATTAGTTTCACCTAATTAAAATGTAATGTAAATTAACCTAATGTAAATTATAAAAAATGATTTAAGCTACTGTAGTATGGCTTAAACGAATAAACTCCTAAAATTAAGACTATATTTTCTGTCAGTATTTCGAAAATGACATGGGTTCGATTATACGTGAACGGGTTGGCTGCATGGACGCTTTCGTGGTTTTTTTCATGTGTGATGAACATATTCAGGCAGTTTCCCCTAGAAGCCCACCACGAAGACATCCTTCCCCTTAGTTAGATAGCCTTAGTGTGCTTTGCCATTATCAACTAAAACCAAATCAAACCTTTAGAAAGTTCTCCATGAAGGAATCTCTTCCCTTAGGCGGATAGCCCTAGTGCGTTTTGCGTAATCTCAACAAACCAAGCCATTCTTATTTGTGAGCCTCTTCGTATTGAAACTGACAAGTTCCTAATGAAAATATTGCGAAACTGACTGCACTTTTAGAAACCTCTCGCAGTCAAACATTGCTTAATCTTCAAATGCGATATCTTCTAATATAACTGAAAGGTTTACAAGTCATAAAATGTAATCCCCAAATTAGACATGTAGTCTAAGATATTTAAACAAAGAGCAGTAATTATACCTCTTCCCCCTACTAGAAAATTCTATTGCAGAGGAATTTTATTATGTATAGATAAGTTCCTTATATCATGTTACATATTCCTTTCGATCCAAGACAAACTTTCGGAACAACCATCATCGTGGAATTAGATAAATAATTTGAATTTAAAGAAAAGAGGTACTTGACTGGATCACCAATAGACAAAAAAGCAACGCGATTTATTGTAGCATTCATCTGGCATCTTTCTTTCAGAAAATCACTAAAGAGATAGATGATTTTTGTCTCAAAAGGATTCATGAATTAACCTGAGTCACTCTCTCTAGCCTAGTATTTAGAAAAGATGGGCGTTATTATTTAAATGAAAGACTTTTATGGAAACTATTTAAGGTAAAGAACTTAACTTAATTAGCCAAAATACAAATAAGATGTAAATGAAACATTCAGTTATAACTACTGAATAAAACGTCTCTCAATAATATTCTAATGAAATTTGAGTTTTTTCTGTGAAATTGCATGTGTTTTTATCTCCTATCAGAGAAAAGTTCAACTGGTTATATCTTTGCATAGTCATCTGTATCGCGCTAAAAAACGAAAAATTCTAAATATTGCTATTTTATCTGTTGCTTCGACATTTATTTTAATTAATTTTTTTAAAATCTAGTGAAATTATTTTGATGAAATGATGGAGGTAAATATTTTCTGAAGCTTACAAAACACCACAAATATAATATTGTTCGACAGTAGATCTATTACTTTTTAGTATATTGATTGAAATACATACCTATATTCATCATTGATTGAAATACATTCATTCAAATCATTTTAATGAAAATTAGATATTGCCTATGAAAAGAATGCTGAAGTAACTCTTCTTCTAAGTTATTACAAAAACTTAACATACGCAACCTAATTCTAATAAATTAGAAAAGCCCCAGAAAAATCCACAAGATTATAAAAGTTGTCTTTCACATACTTAAAGAGATCGGGAGAAAAGAAAAGCAAACTAAGCAAGTTTTAGAGACGTGTTTAAAAAAAAAGTAAAGTAAAAACTTCCCGAAAAGTATAAAAACCCATAAAATCTTGGGAGAACTTTAATCCATAGATATCATTGCGAAATTAAAATTAAACTGAAGCAGAAGAATACTAGGCCATTTTCCTCGGAAAAAAAAAGAATTTTGTATTAGTTTCATCCCTCCCATTCCAAAAAAGGGGTAAATAATTCTGAATCTACAAATTTTCTATATGGAAAAGTCGGTAAATGAAGAAAAAAAGAAAATTGTATTATCTATTATTGGCAGCCGCACTCAATTTTTATCCTACAGATATTTGATTATAGTTTCAATCAGTTATTGTCAATTTCCCCAGTTTTCAGTGAAATTTAGTGCTTTTACCGGTAGGAATATTCAAACCGCGCTATTGGACAAAATAATTTGATACTTTTATCGAAATTTGAGAAAAAAGAGCATGACAGAAATTTAACTTCGAATTCAATTTTAAACGTAATTTTATATTTTGAAAGGTCTGTATTCGATGATACAAACAAAAAGAATCATAATGCATTACTAAATCCGAAGGCATACATTGAGATTCCTAGAAACTCATTTTGTAAGCAGTACATTGAATGTCATTTTTGATTATAATTTACAACTGATTAAGACTTAAAAATTTTATAAAATAATTTGTAGTTGTATTTAAATTTCTGTTAAATAATAGTAATGTATTTGTACAAGTTATTAGAAGTCATTTTTATTGAGATTTTATCACTCTTGTATCTTCGGATTAGCAGTGCCTCTGGAATAAAATTCGTTGCTTTAAGATTTACGATTTCACCGCACGAAAATCAGTAGGCATATAAATTAAAGGCAGCCCACAGCGGGAGTTAGAAGGTGAGCGTTTTGTTCAATGATTTATTATTATTGGATCCCGCTCCTGATGACTTTCGGATGTCAGAAAATTCTTGGTTTGAGGCAAATGCTAAATTAAATAACCAGGATGTTAATTGAATTAGATGGGTAAATTTAATTATCCACTGGAATCATTCAACTGGGAAATCATTCTAGAATCACGAACACAATGGTACTAATAGATCACAAGATATGGCAAGTATAATAATTAATACATGGTTCCTTGTCTATGCTTTCCCCAGAGTAGTTAAATAGCTTAAATTTGCTCGCATTTACAGGCATTCAGATTATATGATTACTTACTAACAGTCATTATTAGTAATTTTGTATGCAGAAGTTTACTATATCAGCTTAAAAATTGCTACGTCTTATTGTTGTTGTTCTTATTCATAAAGTTGTTATTACTACTTCAGCTTAAAAATTGAAGGAAATAATTGCTACACATTTGATACATTTTCTTTTTTTAATCGTACTTTATGTAAAGAGTTTTTTTACTTGTTAAATTTATTATTTAAGAATTATTCATTAGTTAATATAAAAATACTGACTTTTAGTTAATAATTATAAATTTCTTGAATATTGCAATGGTATTGCATCTAGTATGTAACGCTTTAGTTTGAAATCTTGATATCTTATTTTAATCTGAAGAATATTATAAACACGTATGAGATATTCTGTTTATAAAAAAAGTCTTTTGATGTATTTTTATACGTTTAAGTTTCATATACACAACTTTCTTCAAAGTTCTCTGTAGTTTCTATTCATAGAATAAGTTCTTATACCTTTGTTCCCAGCATTAAGCTGCATATTTTTTCCATAGGATAATTAAGTAAGTTTTACGAATTAAATGCGCTTTCTTCTCTTAGAATTTGTTTCCCTGAGAGAGAAGGTTTATTCATTGTGTGCGCCAAGAGCTATCAAAGCACTTCTTTTGTTACTTCCTTTTCTGGTTTTTCTCTCTTTCCTTTTAGACATTTTTAAACGAAGAACCTAATTACTAACACTTTAAAAATGAGAAACAACATTTACACCATTTGCTAAAATATAAACTTTTTAATTTCCACGTAACAGTGCACAACGTTAAAGCAAACTGGAGAAAGAGTTGTAGAATTTCAAAAGTTCTAAAACAGGTATTCCCAATCTTTTTGTTACATCGACCCATTTTAAAAGAATAATTTTCTCCATAGAAGGTCTTAGATTTTCCTCTATAATACACTACAGCATACAATATAATTAGAATACAAAAACATGCGTATACATAACCTAAAGATAACAATTAGTCTAAGAATATAAACAAAAGTTTTGAAAAAAAAAATGGTTTATTAGACTTAGGTTTTATTACTTTTGTATTATTGTTATTATTAATTTAAAGAATATAAAACGTTTTCAGACACAAACACACATATTCTAATTGTCTAAAAGTTTAATTTTAATTAGCGTAATGACTGCATTTAATGTACTGATGCAATTTGCTTTTATAGTATTTGACACAAAATTTTTTAATTTAATTTTAAAATCATCTCGTTTATTAATATTCAGTTTGTTTCTTGTTTCACGTAATAAGTTAGTTATTTGACTAGAACTTGCATACTTCTATGTAAGAAGAGAGAAACTCAATAATGTTGGTCGGATGAAAACTTTAATTTTCGATATTTCTCACGGATGATTACATTCAAAAGTTAGCGTAACCATGTGGTTTGAATAAGACGACAAATTTGTATGTTAAAGGCATTATATTAATTTTATTACCTCATTTTTTATATTCAATATGATCTTGATTATGCCGACCAGATGTATATTCGTCCATTGAGCCCCAGTCGATCCTTTTAACATCATAAACCTCCTTTAAAATTTCTTTGGTCCTATCGGGTCCATACCGACCGCGTTCGGAACATCGTTTCTAGAAACAGACCTTATTATGATCCACAAGTAATTTCCTAACGTCTCGAAATCAAAAAGGTACTGTACAAAATTTAATTCTTTACAGATTTGCTGAAACTGAATGAAAAAGAAGGGAAGTCTGAATATTTTTGAAAAATTATGAATACTTTATAAAACATTTAGTAACATTATGAATTACATTATTTTAGGAACCGTTCAGGATTTATCATATAAACGGTATGAAAGTATAACTACTGTAATGAAACGAGAATTTGTGGATTGTAACTGTATTGGTTGGCCGTTATGACTGATATGACAACGCCATGATCTCATTTTCTACCTCCTAGAACAAAAACAAGCGCAATATTTATAGAATATATTTTCTTTCAATATATGTTTTGTCTTGTTAGCTGGTTTCTTGTTACATTTTAAGATACAGGATGTGTGTATATCTCTAAAATACTTATCTTTTATGAAGAGCTTTCTAAAATGTCTGTTCGCATAATATTGTAAAAAATGAAAAGAAAATTTGAAAGGACTTAAATTTTAATGGTCGCCCAAACGTGTTAAGGTTTTCCTACGCCCGCGCTAAGCTCACAATCTACCAGTCTACTGTTGAACTCCTGCTAATATATCACTTTCTTTATAGCTTTATTATTAAGCGTCATTTTCTTCGCACTTATTCTATATACAGCAAAATTACAAAAATTTTTAAAGCATCATGGGTTTAGACTTCCTGATAAAGTCTTTCTATTTTTTTTTTTTTTTAAAGTTTTCGCACGTCATGATATGACGTCACGACTTATCATGGCTGCTGCCGTAAGCGAGCTTCTGGTTGGTTTCGTTTACATTCTAATCGGTGTTTGTCTACATGTTAGCTTTCATCACTGAATGTTTATAAATCTCCCGTTCTAATTTTAATACTTAACGTAAATTATTTTCTACTTAGTACATAAGAAAATTATAAGATTACAGATAACTGTTTCAAATTCATTAAAATCTAGGTGCATGAAAATGTGTAAATGGTAACCAGTTCTAGTATTAGTATTAACGGGTGCATCCCCCAGTTCACCTAGCCCGCCTAGTGTAAATGGTAACTATACGACATGGTAAAATCTAGAACACAAGCGAAAGTTTCGACAGTATTTTAAGCAAATTATGTCTAAAGACATTTTTCTAAGCTTACGGATGTTGATAATTGCTCTCCAAGTAAGTGTAATTTTATTTATCAGCATTGTTGTGTGCGTATAGGTACGTACTATATTGAATGCACACAGGTCCAATGATAGATCGAAAAAAATTATTTTACCAAAAGAAACACTTCAGAATTCTGGAACTTTCTACAAAAATAGTCGCACAACTTTTTACAGTCAGTAGTTACACTTCGAACTACTAGGAACGTTAAACACAAAGCAAGGAAAATCGCATCTAAAGAGCAAAGCTAACACGAAGATATCTTAGTGCTCCGAACTTACGCTGAACTAAACAACTAACAACTCTCAACTACAACTAAGAGCCGATGCTTTCTCCTGTCTTACGTACATTTCATCCAGCCGCCGAGAAATGTCTAGTCTTGAAATTATTGGAAGGCATAGAAATTATCGAGAAATAGTCTAGAAATTACCGAGAAATGTCTAGTCCAGAAATTACTGGAAGCCATAGACATTACCGAGAAATAGTCTAGAAATTACCGAGAAATGTCTAATCTAGAAATTACTGGAACTGTACCCAACCATATTATGGTTGGGTTCAGTTACAGTTATACAGAACAATTTTTGTTAGAAAATCCTGTACGAAATCATCATTCCCTGTAGGCAAATAGCTCTTACATGTTTTACCATATCGAACAACCACTTTTAGCCACTCAGTACAGAAATATGATAAAGGTAGGAGTTAAACGTGAATAACAATTATTTCTTTTAGAAAATCATGAATTAGATTTTGTCTCTTCACAATTAAATTCAATTATTATTTAAAAACATCGTAAATTAAATTCAACCAATTAAAAAACTTCGCAAATTTGTAAGTATCAGAACATCGAGTAGAAATTTTTAAATTCTTCTACAGTTTTCCGCAGCTACCGAGAAATTTCCAAAATTTTGGTGCAATTATAAATATCTCAAGATATGTTATGTAAAATATCTTTATACGAAATAGATTTGACGTACGAACAACTGAGGATGCACAAATTTCATAAATTAAAGTTAGAATACTCGATGAACCTACCTCAAGAAAATTTTTGCAGATCGATTTTTGAGAATATGATTTCCTATAGTGGAGTTCAGGACATATTCCTTCCCGTGTCGTTAGCGGATTATAATCTATGTGAAAAAATCCTCATTGGACTTTCGGTTGTAATGACGGAATCATGTACGTGCCTAGTAGGTAGTAAGAAGTTGTAGATAAGGATGACTTTTATATGTTTAGGCATTGGAAAACTTTTAAACATAAATTTAATAGTTTTTATTTCGGTTGTGACCATATTTCCACTGGTTACTTCAACAGTAGTTAATGTTTACTAGATTATGAATACAAAATATCCTTTAACACAGGACCCCGAGACATAGAGTAAGTAGAGCTGATTATTTTCATCAATGAACTCATATGTTTTGACTGAAGCTGAAACGTTTATTAGTCTGCAGACATTCGAGGAAACGTAAATAGTACGTTTATTGTAAAATTCTTTTTTATCGCCAACTGTTGTGCATTGTTGCGTGCTAAAGACTCTACAAAAATTTATTTATTGAATTTATTAAAAATGTATTTATTTATTAATTCAAAACTGTACTAAACGATCAGAAAGAAATCGAAACTTTATTGCAATAAATAACAGCTTATACAACAAGATTAACAGCTATAAATAATCCACGAAGGAAAGCAGTGATAAGACAAATTCTCTTTAACATTTGGGGAATACCTCAAAAAGCAATGGTGATCGAGCAAGTCTCCGACGCTGAATTAACTCACTTACTGAAGGCTGAAGGCGTAATGTATATTTTTGTTTCTTCTCCGGAGACTGAGAGGACTTTTGGAAGCTTAGAGAAAAACACTCCTAATGCTTCGAAATGCGTCTTCGAAAAATTTCCGGAACATCGATAAATTAGCGAGAAACTGCCAAATGTTGTCAGCTTAGCGATAAAATTTCTCGGCAAAGCCTGGTAAATGGTTTCTGCCCATATATCTAGTTTTAGTTGAGCTGTCTTTAAATTAAAATATCCATCAATTCAAAATTAAAAGATTTACAAATACATGAAATAAAAGCTTACAAATACAATAAACGATCACAAATTCTATTCAACAAAATTAAGTAATAAAATTAATATATAAAATGCACTGAATACATGAATAAATGCAAGATAGAATACTACAGATATGCATAAAATCTAAGTTACAAAGAAATAAAACTTACTACATGTATAAAAATGTATAGCGGTGTTATTGGAGTGATAGCCTCGACTGGATTAGTTATTGTAATGAAGGGGTTAATTCAGGGTAGGTGCTACAAAATTATTTGCGCAACAAGACTTAATGGGGTAACCTATAATTTTTGCTAGAATGAAATTACAGGCCTGTCTAGAGTAGGATGATTGAAACATTTTCCCTGGATAAAAATTAAATGGAGCGAAAATAAAATATTATATATTAATGTGAAAATGACAAGCTAAAATTTTACGGTGGTTCAATTTTGATATTTGTTTCGAGTGTTGATATCTGCTGGAATGGCTCTAATAAGCAGTAGAAAGCCTTTTAAGTTATCCTTGTTGTCAATCTGAATACCGAATAGTATAACACTTGCTTTACACAGTATGATTATAATTTTGGATTGAACTGAATGCATATATAATTCGAGGTTTGAAGGAAACAAATTCATCAATGTTTTTCTTTTCACGTACATGTGAATAATGCTGTACATCTCTCGACATACTATCAGAGATATCGAATGCCTTCATAAGAATTAGCCGTTGATAATGCTTATTAATTATCTTATTATATTTTCCTCAATATATTAAATGCTCACAAGGTCCCTAATGAATTTTCACGAGGGACAAGAAAATATTCCTCAAGTACTAAAAGTTTAACTGCGCGATAAGAAAGCATTTAATTTTTGTTGTTCAGTCTTTGAAAATATAATAGCAGATACCGATTGCTGAATCAAAGCTGACAATATTTTAAAGAAAGCCTGTTGAGACGCATTATCAATCACCGTCGATGGATATTGTGCAGTTGCTTTACTGGGATTGGTCTAATAAATTCAGTACTAAAATTCTGCAGGCATTTATTTTAGTTTTCTGTGTGTTCAGTTAGAAACTGCTGGTTTAATTTCTATGAAGATGATAGCTTTCTTGATACAATGATAAGACTGCCAAAATAGTTAAAATATATGACTAGACCGAACAAGATACAGATCTAAAAACAGAGGCAGTATCGTATATATAGGATTATTAAAAATGTATGACTGAAAAAGACATGATTAGACGTACCGTTGTTTCGAAGCATGACTGGAGAAAAACGGAAATGAGTAATTTTCGCTTGGTGTCCGGTCTCTAGCGTGACATCAAGACACTTTACCTTCATTTATTTCCCTGTAAAAACAAATAAATGTATAGCACGAAAACAGCTCGTTACGTATGCATAATGAATTTTGTATCTAAATCGGCTAGAAAATAATTTTAGCGCAATTAATTTCTCTCAAGAACAGGAAATTATGCACAATTATATGCAATTAAGTAAAGTACACAAATTAACAGAATAAGAAAATAAATTATTAATGAAGTAATTTAATCTGAGGTAGAATTTTATGATAACTAAGTCAAGCTAAGAAATATTTGGGACAAAAGGTTGCTGAAATAAATTTATTAAACACGTAAACATAAATGTACATATATGAGAAAACAAATGACATTTCTGCTTTCAGTTAAATTTTTCTCACATTGTAGAGAAGTCAGCTTTATTCGGAGCAGGAAATGAGAAAAATCATCAATGCCCTCTCTGGAATTCGAACTCTGGAGTTCCCGATTACTAGCCGCACCTGCTTCCAATTACGCTACAAAGACAATTGGTAAGGAAGGAGAAGATTTCTTACAACATCATCGACAATAAAGCACAGACATTAGATAAGTATTGCAAGACAAATACCAATATGTTAGATCCTCTGAAAAAAAAGCTAATGTTGAGGTACATAACTACGTCATGGTTGCAGATCGTATATTGGTCTTTGTATACCCTGTCGGCGAAATCCCCAAGGCGGAAGAGTGAAGTTGATTCCTTTTAACGAAATGTATAGCATACAATAAGAAAGTATTTTTAGTTCTAATATGTATATTTTAGTCGTAATATTTTGAAATGTGTAAGTATGATTGTTCAAGTTTATTTGCAAATTCTAAACCTACATTAAGGCCCACCAGCGGCCGAGCGGTAAAGTCGCTGAACACTGATAGTTCGGTCCGAGGTTCGAATCCCGCGAACGGGCTGGCTGCATGGGTGTTTTCGTGGTTTTCCTCATGTGTAACGTGTATACGAGCCAGTTTCCCTTAGAAAGTTCTCCACGAAGGCATGGCAGATAGCCCTTGAGGCTTTGCCATAATCCCACATACACACACACAAACACTAAACCTGCATTAATTTCTTTCGTATTCCTGGTTAAATCGCAATATAAAAATAATAAAATTTATAAACATAGCTTTATCAAACTGTCAATAAAGCTTTTCACTATATATAGATTTATATGGCTATCAAAATTCTTAAGGCTTTGAACATTACATTACGTTTCAATTATGATATAAGGAGGTGTTCTCTTTTTCCGTACAAAATTCAAACTAAAGATTTGAGTTAGTAATTTTATGTTTGTGTGTGGCAGGAGAGGTAAATCTGCACGTACTTTCTCACTTGTTTTTAATACATTTAGATAATGAAAGGTTCAGTGGGGCAGAGCTATAGTTAATAGAAGTTTTCCTTCAAACAGCTTTCAAAATTTAGATACGAAAAAATTACTTTCAGTCTTTTTCAGGATGTACTATGTTGCAAACCATTATCCATATAAAATAAATAAAATCTTCAAGATGTTTTTCGTGTAAGATGTTACTAAAACTGAGATACTAAGTATGGAATTTGAGACATTTTTTGAAACTGGGTAGCACTGCCTTTGAAATTTGCGAAGCTTAAAAATTTATTTGGAACTTGATTTCTATTCAAATATAAATGACTGGTTTAAAATTTTAAATAAACATTTTATGATGGAAGCTTCAGGAACAAAGTTTTATGATAGCTATATAAACTAAATAGAAGTGTTAAAAGTGGTGTACAGAGAATTTAAAATTTTTAATCCATGAAGCATTTGCTATATGTATGCTCCAGTTTCATGATATGGAAGCGGAAAAAAACTGGCTGTTAAAATACTTTACTGGGATGCTGATTCAGTTGAATATAGTTACTTATTGACTGTAAGAATACAGTTATTTCCTATTAAAACACTAAGGAAAAAAATTGAATTCAAAAACGAGTCAACGAGCAATCTCTTGAAGGAAGATACAATATTACACTGAAGCCATAACCGAAATACTTGGTAGTTTAGAACGAATTTAGCAGTTAACAGTAAGTTTAACACAGATTATAGTTAACTATTTCTGACACGAATTTTAGCGCAAAACTAAAAATCTTTATTTATGGAAGCTTTAAATTCTTGAGTTCTATTTTTTTATTAGCTAAATAAAATCGTATGATTATTGAGGAATAAAAGTAAGAATAGCCACTAATGAGCAAACTCATTTTTGCCTTTGGCTGAACTATTGATGACTAAACTTCTCAAGAAGTCTAATTAAAAAAACAGATTTTTCCAGAATTTGTTTTCTTTGACGAAAACTAAGAGGTGAATTCTGAAATCGATTTTGGCAATTAACGCAAGAAAAAAATCACTCGAGGTATTGTTTAGCGACTTTTTTATATTACAGGTAAATAAATGTAAACTGTTTTCCTGTAAAAAGTAAAATTTATGAATTTCCATTAGAATGTTTTATTTCTGAAATATAACCATCCCTTGATTGCAAAAGAATATAAAAGTATTTTAACTAGACAGCAAATGGACTCTGTCTTTTAAAACAGACTGATACCTAAAGCTATAAAAATATTCCACCAGATAAGTGAAAACACATCAAAGGCATTATTTTCATTCTTAGATGTCGCAATAAATCTCTGAAAGCATTTTAGTTTTAAGAATTCGTTTCCTAAAGGCGATAGTATCATCAAGGAAGGTGCCAAGAACACTTTCCCTCAATCCTCTCTTTCCGTTTCCACGGTTACGGGTGATTGCGGTCACATTTTTATAGCTTCCACTTTAATTAAAGCTGGACGCAGCTGCCTTCCATAATCGGAAACTCATGCTGTCGTCTGCTTTTGTGATATGGATTTGCTGACATGATGGGTTGCACCGAGGACGCCATTTCAGAACATCTTGTTGGTGTTAGATTGGCATTATTAGACGCATACTTTATAGAAAACTTGTCAGGAAGGAAATTCCGCGGAAAATATTCTTTTTTATTTCCTTTGATAGAGGTGAGCTAGAACTAAGTCTCTTGAATTACTACTTAAGAATTTGCTATAAGCTAATAGAGATCTTTTTTTCTAAAGAAGTGGAAATTAATTCTACTCAAAACGTCGTATATTTTCTTCCGTAAGACAGTTACTTCTAAAAAGTAAAGTTTTTCTTTATTCATATAAAAATATCCTTTATCACATGATTTTTAACAATTCCATTCAACAATAGCAATTCATGCATAAATTATATCTCAGAAAGTTTTGGGCAAGATTTTTGCCCAGAATTGTAGTTAATTTTACTTTTCGTTACTTACATTTCATTTTACTTAATTTTACTTTGTTAAAGCTGGAGAAACAGCGTTATATTTATAATTAATAGAAATACCATAGGAAATCTTGTAATATCTCTCATAAAAAAAAAAAAAAAAAAAAAGCACCTGCGCCCATTAAACGGTTGAAGTAATCAAAAGCAACAAAACTTAACGACAAATGCTATATTTTAAACCTTAAGAGAAAAAGCAAGTGAATTAGAATAATGTAAATATTTACTATAAAAGAACAGTTTACTGTTATCTGTCTTGTTAAAATTTCATTTCAGAACGTAGTGCCGAAGAAATAATATTTAAAGAAAAGAATTTCTGCGTTTTTGTATTTTATTTTTGTACTTCTAAAAAAGCATAGCGCATTCGAAGAAGTGTACCAACGTAAAAACCAATATATTTTCCAAAACCCGCTTTCAAATTGCTGTTCAATATAATAACAACTAGATGATTAATTAAAAATATCACATTTATTCTATTAAGTCATCGTTTAATTCTAATATCTTCTGCGCAGTTATTTTTGACCTACGAATAGATGACTCGTATTAGAAAAATAATTCTGATAATGTACCTATAAATTGATTGAAAATGTGCATATTTTATAATTTTGGAAAGTAGTTTCACAATATGAATTTATCAACATCTAATTTCAAAAACAAAATAAAGTTTACCATTTAATAAAAGAAGAAATGAATTAAATACAAAAAAAATAATTTTTAAAAATATATTAGAGAGCTAGCTAACCAGTTTCAGTTCTTCACCTAAAGATTATCCTAAAAGTAGAAATGTCTTCTTAAATTTTCGACAGGAAAACTTTCGTATTTGCATTCAACGAAGGGAAAGACAATAGCAAATTTCAGTAACTAAGACATTACCCAGATTCAGAAGTCAAACAACAAAAATCAACGTTATATTTTCAAATTTTCACAGCACTAGTTTCGATAGTTTTACCGAACCACCATCCTCAGCTGCAAAAACGCAAATGAACGAGATAGGATTTCTGGAATTTCGTGGCACACCAAAGAGTTCCGAGTTATCAAGGAAGTGCCGAAAAAATCCAAATGCTGACACACTTACAATCACACACACAACCACACAACAGAGAAATATATAAAAACATTTAAAATAGACATTATTAAGGAAAAAAAATTGTCATTGTGTATTAAATACATGATAAAAAATTGCAAAATGTCAAATACATGTATTTGATTGCGGCACACCTATATCCTACTCATGGCACACCAGTGTGCCGCGGCGCACCGGTTGCGGAGCACTGACGTAGATGTTTGTAATGTGCAATGTCTTCACAGCATTGGACAAGGTCCTTTCTTACCTCCGTGGTATTGGATCGTTAAAGGTCCCTTGAAAGGCTGATGGCAACGAAAGAGAGGTGGGAGTTCTTAAATCGCCCACCAGGACGTTCTCTTTCAAAACTGAGACGCAGTTGAGCAAAATATTCACCACTTTACTTAATAATAACTACTTCTTATATTATGTTTTATGTCGTAAATGGCAACAATAGATACTTACGAAATGCAAGATTTTAGAAAAACGGCGAATTTCCCGGAAGAGGTAGAAACAGGTGGAATTACCCTGCCTAGCAAAGACACGATAAACAAAATATTTAAGAAATATGCTATAAATTTATGGTTCCATAAAGGAGTGTTAGATTGCATTGGTTTCGTCAATATTACTATACTAGCTATGTTTTTTTTTTGTGCATTTATACATAG